ACAGGTTCGAGACCCACCTGGGCAACTTGGCGAGACCTCATCTCTACAATAAATCAAAAAAATTAGCCAGGCGTGGTAGCACGTGCCTGTAATTCCAGCTACTTGGAAGCCTGAGGCGGAAGGATCGCCGGAGCCCAGCAGGTCAAGGCAGCGGTGGCTGGGAGCAGCCACTGCACTCCAGTCTGGCAACTGGTGAGACTTCAACTCAAAAAAGAAAAAAAGTCAAGCAATTAGCCGGGTGTGGTGGCCCATGCCTGTAGTCCCAGCTACTCAGGAGGCTGAGGTGGAAGGATCACCTGAGCCCAGGAGGTCGAGACTGAGCTATGATCGTGCCACTGCACTCCAGCCTGGGCAACAGAGTAAGACCCTGAACCCCCCTCAAAAAAAAATCCAGACCAGTGTTGCAACTGAATTGTAAGATGCCTTGACTCTGATCAATTGTGGATGGCTGCCAGAGACCATGCCAAGGACCTGGGGTTTGATGTGGGCTTGGGGCGTTGCATTGCGGTGCGGCGCAATCCCAGTTAGGGACGTCTGCCAGACACTTGAGTTTGATTGGTGATGTCTGCCGCAGATACAGGGGTGGAAGGAGCCACAGGAGTCCGCTCTCCTCTCTCTCCACTGCCCCTCCTCCTGTCCTTGGAAGAGCCCGTTATGCCTTGCAAGCCACTAGCACCCTGTTCCGGCTCCCAGCCTCCCTGGCGATGCGCAGCCAGCTGGGAGACAGCTGCAGGCCAGAGCCCAGTGCCCCCTGCCCTGCCGCCTGCCTCTTCCCAAGGCGCAGCCGGCTGAAAGACCCTCTTCCCCTCCTCCCAACGTGCCCAGCAGTCCCGGCCCTCCCTCCAGGTCTCTGGGCTCAGTCTTCCCAAATCACCCCTGCAGCATCCAGCCCAGGCCACTCCCTAAGTGACACCATGAATTCCCTAGAGGCCGGGTGCCGCGACACCCGAGAGGGACCCACGGCTGTCACCCCTGCCCAGCCTGAGGGGGACCTGCCTGTTCCTCTCTGACCTTCCCACACGCCTCCCGGGGAGGTGAATGGCTGATCGGAGGATGCCGAAAACCCCAAACCCAGGCTGGGCTGGACTGAGGCCAGTGGGGTCAGTCCCCAGGTCAGAAGGGTCTGAAGAAAAGGCGGGTCACCAAGGAGCATTGGGCTGAGATGGCTCAAGGCTGGATCTGCGACTCGGTCCCCATGAGCTTCTGCAAACATTTCAGGGCACCCTCAGCCCTGGGCCAGCTCCCTCGGGGGCTGGAGGAAGGGCAGGTGGCCTCTGCCCCCTGGTCTGAACTGGGCTGGTGGCTGCTTGCAGGGCAGCCTGAGGCCGCTCCGGGGGGGCAAGGAAAGGCAAGCCCAGCCCCTGCCAGGCGCGGGCCAGCACCCAGGGCCGGCAGGCGGTGGTGCCGGCTGGTGTCCAGACACAACCCCAGGAGGCCTGGCTGCCAGTAGGGGGAGAGGGCAGGGTGGGGATACCTCTCGGCGTCTTCCCCCCCAGAGGGCATGAGCCACAGTGACTCGACACAGGAACGAGGAAGACTTCACACACTGTGGGGCGCACCCCACCCTGTCCTGGAAGCCACATTCTTGCTCCGAAGCCGCTGCCTCTTGGAAAAAGAATATATCTCATGGGGGTGGGGGATGGCGAGAGCCCCTCCCCGGTGATCCCCAGCCCAGGGCTCAGCCCCAATTCAGCCTCTGTCCCTCCCTCTAGGCACCACACCTGAGGGCCCAGACGAGGGCTCCCCAAACCAGCCGGGGCACCGGCATCCTCCCTCCCCAGGAGACCCCCCCATGGGCCCACGTTGAACGTCTATTTTGAAAACTGTCCACGCTCCTGGCGGTAGGCTGGGGAGGTAACTGACCACAGTTGTCCCCTGCAAGCCCCCTTTTTCTATGCTGTTGAGAGTTTTGTAATATAAGACAGGACGCCCGCACTGGTGGCTTTGCACTGGTTTTTGTGTTTCTTACAAAAAGAAAAAGGAACAAAGAATAAATAGTGACCGTGACAAAAGGTGATCTTGACTTGGGGCAGACAGGGTCTGGGCGGAAGCTTGGCTAGAGGGTGCTGGGTGTCACTGCGGGGGCTGGAGGACGCAGCAGTGCAGGTCCCCCGGAGCGCAGAGAGCTGGGCCCACCCCCGGCCTCCCTCGCTGGCCCGAAGCTCCCTCTGTCCCCACCCTTCCCCACCTGCTGCCCTTCTGAGGGTCCCTCGGTCCCCAGCCCCATCACTGCCTGCGGGTCCCTTTCTCCCCGCCCCCCACCACTGCCTCTTTCTGAGGGTCCCTCTGTCCCCACCCCCATCCTGCCTCTTTCCTGACATAAATCATCCTTGCCTTAACGTCCCCTGCACTCCAGCCCGTGTCTCCAGGGTCTCACCCGACTCTGGCACCCCCACCCCCCACCCCTCCCCTCTGGCTTCCCGACAATTGGTTCTGAGCCACACGGCAGTCCATGAGCACTGCTCCGGGCCAGAGCCCCGGCAGCCGGTCCCAATGTGTCCACCCCCACCCGTGGGGCGAGGCCACTCCTCCCATCCCACCCCACAGCCGAGCGGAAGCCTGGCGGTCTCAGCCCAATGCCTGCCCCCGAAGCTCAGGGCCTGCCTCCTGCCTAGACTGACCTGCTGCGCCCGGGACACTGGGCAGCCAAGCCCCCCCACTGTGGAGGCGTGGGCCTGGGGGGAGCAGCGGTGACTCCCAGGCCAGGGAGAGGCACAGCGTCCCACTCTGCATGGCCACCGACCAGCAGCAGAACGGTGACACCACTGGACCACTCCTCCCCTGTGGCTTGGGTGGTGCCGGCGCTCTGGGGCCCGTGGCCACTGGCTCAGCAGGGCATGGGGTGGGCTGGTGAGGCCCCCAGGCAGCCCCATTCCCATGTGGCGGCAGACAGCTGGCTGCATGGTGGACGCCCTCACCCTGCCCGCTCTAGGCCCAGGAGAGGGGCAGGCACGGGGCCTGGGGCGCCCCCCCACTCATGTCCCAAGAATTGGGGCTCAGCATCCCTGCTGTGTGCGCCTCTGTGCTGGCAGGGAGGCGGGGGGTGGGGGAGGACTGCAGGGGAGAGGCAGGGCAGGGGACTTCAGCTGTGAGACAGCTGGTCATCGGCCTTCTCCCGGGGAGGAGGTGGCCTGCAGAAACATTTCTATTTCCCTTGCTGTGCGTCAGGGGCACCAGCCCCGCTCAGCCAGGCCTTAAGCGCCTCCGGGCGGGCTGGGGAGCGGGTGGGGGCCGAGCCAGGTGGACGGCAGGCCTCCGAGGACGTGCCAAGGGACGAGGAATGCCCTGGCGCCGCCTTCCGTCCTCATCTCCAAATGCGGCGCTCATGGTGGGCTCCGGGGACCAGCGTGTGTCTCTCTGTCTAGGGGGCCTGCAGGTGGCCACTGACAGCCTTGAACCCAGACCACTTGGAGGAGGAGGTTCCCAGGGGCTGGGGGTAGAAACAGAACGCCCTAGGGCAAAGCTCAGGAGAGCTTGTCAGGGGCCAGGCCCGGGGGCAGACAGGGCTTCTGGCTGCGGAAAGGGACATGCCCGCCCCTGCCTGTGCGCCCTCAGGTGGGCTGACGGAAGGGGCACACGTGTGCATGTGTGTGTACGTGTGTTATGTGTACATGTGTGTCTCTATGTTCAGGGTGTGCCCGCGGGAAGGGCCCACGCTGAGGGCTGGGGGCACAGGGTCCGATTCTCAGGGTTTCCAGGCCTGGGGGAGCCTCACTCAGCTTCCCCGGCACTAGGCTGCCGGGCGGGGGTGAGGCAGAAGGATCGGGGTGGTCACAGCCGCTCTCAAAAGCAAGGAGGGCTTCCTGAAAGAAGAGGATAGACCCCTGACCTAGCCCGCTGCCCTCAGGACTCGCGCTTGACTCCAGTCGGTGTCTGTCGAGGGGGTCTGGAGACTAAGAGGCCCAAGAAAAGGAGGTGTTGCGTGCAGGGTGAGATACAGGGGTGCAGAGGTCCTGTCTCTCGCCAGCCAGCGCGCCAAACCCTCAGCCCAACAGCCCGGGAGACCACGGCGTCCCGGGGTGCCCAGGAGGAGAGGAAGGTGTCACACCCGGCCTGCCTGGGCAGGGCTGGGGTGAGGCAGGGGCCTCCGGGGACCTCGGGAGGCAGGCCCAGAGCCGCCCTGCCCCAGGCGTGGGCGGGCGGCCGGCGCGCTAGACTTTCTTGGGTCTCCGGCCCACTTGGTAGTAGTAGTACACGCTGATGGCGAGGAAGAGGAGGCGGCTGGCCAGGAGCAGCAGGACCCCCGAGGACATGAGGCCCGTCTCAGCCAGGGTGGCGGCGACCACTGCAGGAGAAAGGCCGGGAGGGGGTGAGGGTCAGGACAGGGCACGGGCCTGCGCCACGCCCCCCACGGGACGCCACGTCCACCCCGCAGGAGGCCACATCCACCCCAGGGGTGCCGCCCCCCACAGGACACCACACCCTGCCTGAGGCAGCACGCCCACCCCGCG